AGGGGAGGAGGATAGGGCTAGGGAAGGGTATCAGGAGAGGGATATAGGGGGCCATAATTAGGCAAAGAAGTGGTCCCCGGGATCACCCGGGACTCAGTGGTCTGGGGAGCGGTAATAGCCCAAGTGGTATCAAAAACGCGATACCAAAGGGGCTAGTGGTGAGTGTGCAGGTACGCTGGTTGTGGGGAAGACAGCATATAAACATGAATGTAGTAATGCGATCCTGGGGGGAGAAAGAACATCAGGATTGGCATACAGGAGAGTCAAGGGATCCTAGGGTCAGGTGGCATCGGTCGTCCAGGTAGGTCTACAGAGATGGGGGACAAAATTTTCCATGCCACCAAAACCGAGGATCCTATACATAAAAAACAGGCATAATCGATTAAAGATTAAACCAACGAGTAATATATAAGGCACAACAAGCTCTTACCGATAGAGGAGAGAGAGTAGGACGGCCCTTGATATACGGTGCAGCAAGAAATTTTCCTCAATACAGGTTATAACATTGTTTTAAGAAAAAAGGGGGGGAGAACAGAAGAAGAAGTCAGAAGGACAGTATGAGCCCTGGGGGCTAACATAAGGATACGGATACTTAGCATCTGCATTCAGGTGAGGGATGAGAGGAACAGACACCATGGGTGTCAACTACGAGGGTGGCGGAGTTCCACTTCGTTGAATGTAGGCTGTAAAGCGAGAGATGATTGATGAGATTCAGTCCATGGAATCTTGTGGAGATGGAGCAGGTGATGAAAAACGCCCTTGTTTGTGGGTATTGAGTTCACCGTTGGTGAGGTGTGTCGGGTGAGATTTTCTGCGGTGAGCATGATGCTGATCGTCAGAGGCGTAGCTGGGGGGGCAGGGGGTACATATGTACCCGGGCACCAAGGTAAAGGGGCGCCAAAATGAGGTCACAAGATCACTGCAGCGGCTGCAGCAGACATGTCATCTGATACGTCTGCCATCTACAGTGAGCGGCCGGGAGAGGAGCGGAGAGGAGGGCAGTGAGCCGGGCATGTGCCGGAGGGGACGAGGGGAGATCCGAGCCGGGTGTGTAGTGCCACAGATGAAGGGGGGGCAGCAATGTGATTGGGACGGGGGGTGTCTACATGGACCATATGAAGTGGGGGGGGGGGTCATGAGGTGGCTGATCATCCTCGGGTGCAAAATATCCTAGCTACGCCTCTGCTGATCGTCGTCTGGAGCTTTCTGATGGTGTTGTGTGAGGGTGCAGCTGGTGGTTCCGCAGGATGTCTTGAAGCTCATCAGGGGTCTTGCAGATGTGGTCTCAGGCCTGGTACTGGAAACGTACTGCGAAGGGGAAGCACCATTTATACAGTATGTCATGCTGTTGAAGAGCTTGTAAAGGTGGCTTCATGGCCCTTCCTTTGACGATGGTAGTGGGACAGAGGTCTTGGAATAGCTGGTAAGTGTGACCCTGGAACGTGAGGGATTCTGCGTTACGGGTCTGCTTGTAGAAATTGTTCTTTAGTGCAAAAGAAGTGGAGCTTGGCTATGATATCTCATGGTGGGCCGCCGGTGCTTTTTGGATCCAGTGCCCTGTGAACCCTATCCATTTCTAGGCATTCTATGGGAATAGCAGGGGAGAGCTCTTGAAATAACACTGTGACAGTGGATTGGACATCAATAATCGACTCAGGAAGGCCAGGAATTTGCACGTTTGAGCGCCTAGCCCGATTCTCAAAGTCCTCTAAGCACATTTGTAATGTAGCGTTTTCGTCACGCAAAATGTCAAGTTTGTGTGTTTGTGTTTGAAATGAGGCGTTCAGTCATCCACCCTCTGTTCCAGGTCAGCAGTGCATTGCTCTAGTTCGTGGATTTCTCTGGACAGCTTGTCTGTGGTGCGGTCAGAGGTCTGTGTTCAGGGCTTTGTGTAGCATTTTTCCAAAACGTGTGAGGTCAGGAGTAGTAAGATCAGGTGTTGAAGCATGTATGGGGGTCTCTGTCTCAGCATCAGACTCACCCTCAGAAGTGCAGGGATGGCTTGGCTGCTCCGTGTGCAGGGCTGTATACTTCAATGCTGCTGGCTTGCTGCTGCTGTGAGAGGTTGCAGCGGCCATCTTGGAGGAGGCACGAGCAAGGGCCTCCTCGATTGGTTTGCCTGGCGGTGGAACCTGGTGCTGGGACACTCCCCTGACCATATTAGCGTGTGGCAGGGGGGTCGCTATGGCAACTGGGGCCATTTATATGACGTCTCGGGCCGGGATCATGGGTCAGGGGTGGCTGTTTTCCCTGCGGTGCAGAGGAGCCTCAGGGAGACATGTCCATCCCCGCTGGCCGCGCATGCGCACCATGCCAACTTTATTTCATAACACATATATACACAAAATAGGAAATAGATCACTTATAGGAAATTTTGCACAAAATTATGGCAGTTAAAAGCCTTCACCGACTCCAAGAATGACCCCTTTATGAACATACGTGTAACGGAGGGTAAGCGGGACAGAACACACAAGGCAGACGGCAAACACTTAAAGCTTTATTAAAACAAACAACAGTCACTCAATGGGGATTAGTGCAGGGAGAGAGTCCAAAATACTTGTAATCCAGCCCCGGTGGGCAAAGCTAAAGGCTCCACAGCAATTTGTAATCCAAGAGGCAGTTCATAAGCAGTCAGATAGCACAAGGGGAGCATACACTCACACAAATCTGATGCGATAGTCTCAGGCAGAGTTGACAGTGTTCCAGGCAGGCTGATGTAGCTTCTGGGATCCCCCTTCCTCCAATGGAGCTCAGGCAGAGCCGGGGGGCCACTAAAGTCCAGCTGAACCCCTCAGTGGTTGCCCAGCAGAATGGCACAACAACAGAGAGAGACAGCACTGGCCTCTTAAACCCCCTGAGCAGGAAGAGAGGTGGAGGGGGGTCATTAGCAGGTGACAATGAAGAGAATGGAACTACAGTAATTTAATTTGTAGCTGTACACAGAAAGGACTGGTTGGGCCGGATAATTAGTGGGGGAAATACATTAATACAAAAGTAAGGCACTAATTAGGGATGTATAACTCATTGAATTTGGGACCTTTTGTGGAGGGGCGAGTTAATTACAGCTAGGGGCCTTTGGCACACAGGAGTGAATACTAATTGGAGGAAGCTCTTCCTATGGCCAGGAGGGATTAGGAACAAGGAATTAATACCTGGGGATTATTAACTGGGCTGGCAGAGAACTCATATCGTGACACTCCGGATCAGTAAGCAGGAATTGATAATTGGCCGGGTCCCTATACCGTGATAATACGTGTTTGTTGGTATATCTTAAAACAAGGATACAAATTCCTAGAAATCCTAATTATGAACCTCCTCAGCAAATGATATGAACAGAAAACATTGAAGTCATTTCTTACGTTGCCATGTTTCCAGAAGATGTTACTCATATCAAACGTTTTGGGTACAAAATCCGGGCCTTGAAAAACGGAAATTTTGCTTTGAGGAAAAGATATATTGTTTATATAAAGGCCGCTCTGTAAAATGAGATCGGTTGGAATTTCTCTTCTCTCATTGAAGTAGATCTCGCCTCCGTCTGGGTCGGTGTAATGAACATTTCTCACATATTTGTGCAGCTTTTCATGGAAGACAGAAATACTCACATTACTATATACAGGTATAAAGGTTCTGAAATTAAAGTCTGATTAAAAAATACAAAGTGGTTAGATCCAAGTTATTAAGTGTTCCTGCATGGAGGGATTGACAGTGAATGGAGGCCAGTGGAGGGATTGGCAGAAAGGGGTGGAGGACACTGAGTGGAGATCAGTAGAGGGATTGGAAGAGAGGGGTGGAGGACAGTAAATGGAGGCCAGTAGAGGGATTGGCCGCTCGGCCTTCTGTGCAGCAGAACCTGCTCCTCGGTCCAGCTGTGTCCTCATCACCTCATCATCTTCAGTGTGGGCACCCGGCTGTTACAACTTGCGGCTTCACAGCCGGGAGCCCACTGCGCATGCGTGAGAAACGCTGCACTTTGTGAATGTCCCCGTAGTTTTCTGGGACCTGTCACGTGTCCTAGAAAACTACGGGGAGAGAGGTGATCACAGCAGAAGTGGGAGTGGGTATCAAATTCAGGCACCCGCTCCCCAAAGGTCCACAGTCTCTGGTCATCTCCTGTACTATGTCCGCAGTCTCTGGTCATCTCCTGTACTGTGTCCGCAGTCTCTGACCATCTCCTGTACTGTGTCTGCAGTCTCTGGTCATCTCCTGTACTGTGTCCGCAGTCTCTGACCATCTCCTGTACTATGTCTGCAGTCTCTGGTCATCTCCTGTACTGTGTCCGCAGTCTCTGGTCATCTCCTGTACCATGTCCACAGTCTCCGGTCATCTCCTGTACCATGTCCGCAGTCTCTGGTCATCTCCTGTACTGTGTCCGCAGTCTCCGGTCATCTCCTGTACTGTGTCTGCAGTCTCTGGTCATCTCCTGTACTGTGTCTGCAGTCTCTGGTCATCTTCTGTACTGTGTCTGCAGTCTCTGGTCATCTCCTGTACTGTGTCCGCAGTCTCTGGTCATCTCCCTGTACTATGTCTGCAGTCTCTGGTCATCTCCTGTACTGTGTCCGCAGTCTCTGGTCATCTCCTGTACCGTGTCCGCAGTCTCTGGTCATCTCCTGTACTGTGTCCGCAGTCTCTGGTCATCTCCTGTACCGTGTCCGCAGTCTCTGGTCATCTCCTGTACTGTGTCCGCAGTCTCTGGTCATCTCCTGTACCGTGTCTGCAGTCTCTGACCATCTCCTGTACCGTGTCCACAGTCTCTGGTCATCTCCTGTACTGTGTCTGCAGTCTCTGGTCATCTCCTGTACCGTGTTTGCAGTCTCTGGTCATCTCTTGTACCGTGTCCGCAGTCTCTGGTCATCTCCTGTACTGTGTCTGCAGTCTCTGGTCATCTCCTGTACTGTGTCCGCAGTCTCTGGTCATCTCCTGTACTGTGTCCGCAGTCTCTGGTCATCTCCTGTACTGTGTCTGCAGTCTCTGGTCATCTCCTGTACTGTGTCCGCAGTCTCTGGTCATCTCCTGTACTGTGTCTGCAGTCTCTGACCATCTCCTGTACTATGTCTGCAGTCCAATATTTTTTTTCTTATCTCCCTCCTCTAAAACCTAGGTGCGTCTTATGGAATTAAAAATACGATATATATATACAGTTGTGTTCAAAATACTAGCAGTCAGACATCACTAACCGGATCAATCACTGTTTTTGGTGGAAATGATATTTCTACATGGCAAATAATTTCCTAGCAGGTGTAGTAGAGTCATAGAAATCCAACAGACGCAACAGTCATGACATGCATACTGCTGATTCTGTGTCATTGAATCACTCATTGAAAGGGGCGTGTTCACAAATAATAGCCGTGTGGAGTTCTATTAGTGAGGTCATTCATTCTTTGATAAACAGGTGGCAATTATTGCCCTTATTTAAGGAAGGAAGGCAGCAAATGTTGGACATGCTGGTTACAGTGCATTTCTCTCTGAAATTCTGAGGAAAATGGGTGGTTCCAGACATTGTTCAGAAGAACAGCGTACCTTGATTAAAAAGTTGATTGGAGGGGAAAACATATAAAGAAGTGCAGAAAATGATCGGCTGCTCAGCTAAAATGATCGCAAATGCTTTAAAATGGCAACCAAAACCTGAAAGACGTGGAAGAAAGCGAAAAACTACCATTGGAATGGATAGAAGAATAGCCAACATGGCGCGGACTCCGCCAACAATCAGCTCCAGGAAGATGAAAGAAGGTGTGACGTTCCCTGTGAGGACTCAGCCAACAATCAGCTCCAGGAAGATGAAAGAAGGTGTGACGTTCCCTGTGAGGACTCAGCCAACAATCAGCCCCAGGAAGATGAAAGAAGGTGTGTGATGTTCCCTGTGAGGACTGTTACAATTAGAAGACGCCGATGTGAAGCCAAGCTATCTGCAAGAAGTTCCCGCAAAGTCCCACTGTTGGGAAAAAGACGTGTGCTGAAGAGGTTACAATCTGCCAAAGAGCACATTGACCGGCCTAAAGAGAAATGGCGCAACATTTTGTGGACTGATGAAAGTAAGATTGTTTGTTCTTTTTGGGTCTAGTGGGCAGAGACAGTTTGTCAGACGACCCCCAAACACTGAATTCAAGCCATAGTACACTGTGAGGACCGTGAAGCATGGTGGTGCAAGCATCATGATATGGGGATGTTTCTCATACTACGGTGTTGGGCCTATTTATCGCATACGAGGGATCATGGATCAGTTTGAATACATCAGAATACTTGAAGAGGTCATGCTGCCTTATGCTGAAGAGGAAATGCCCTTGAAATGGGTGTTCCAACAAGACAACGACCCCAAACACACCAGTAAACGTGCAACATCTTGGTTCCAGACCAACAAGATGGACGTTATGGAGTGGCCAGCCCAATCCCCGATCTTCATCCAATAGAAAACTTGTGGGGTGACATCAAAAATGCCGTTTCTGAGGCAAAACCAAGAAATAGAGAAGAACTGTGGAATGTGGTCCAATCATCCTGGGCTGGAATACCTGATCACAGGGGCCAGAAGTTGGGGGACTCCATGCAACACAGATGTACAGCAGTTCTCAGAAACAGTGCGACTACAACCAAATATTCATGAAGTCATTCAAAGGAAAGCAAAATCTTCAAACATTTCTCAGTTTATATAGTGAATGTTGGAGTTTGTAAAGAAGAATACAAACACTGAGATTTTTTTGAACCGTCTAATATTCACTTTTCTTCCATTTTTTTAGAGGAACAACACAAATTTGATGTATTTTTCTTCATGTTGTGATTTGGAATAGAATGTGTCGTGTTCCCAATGCATTTGTGTGGATGGAAATAAAAGGATTAGAAGGATTTGCAGCTTTAGTCACTTTTTCAACAACACACTGCTATTATTTTGAACACAACTGTACATATATAATGTATATCAATTATATATGAATCTGGACTATATGAAATGTGTCTCATAACATGGCATATACAATTAGTAAAAAAAAAATCCCCCCCCCTTTTAAAAGCCAACTATTTATTTAATTAGATTTTAAAAACTGTATAGGAGAAACAAACATTGTATTGCCGGCAATTTTGCGGACAGTGAGAGGGAGGTCGGAGGTCGCGGTCCATCTCACTTTGGTCACACAATTACTATGTAATCTATGATAGGATCGTAGTAACAGCAGCGGTGTACTTAGGTATTGTACTGCCCTAGGTAACACAAAAATTGGACACCCCCCTCCCGCACAGAGAGCCTGCCACCAACCAACACCAGACCCCCCCCCCTCCCCGCGGAGAGAGCCTGACAGTGACTAACCACACCCCTGCCCCATCCCCAGAAAAAAAAGACACCTTCACAGCTCTGGACATCCCCCCCATGGAGAGAGACTGATGGTGACCAACAACACCCCTGATCCATCCCCACCCGAGAAAGCCTTTCACTAACCCCCCCTCGACAGAAAAAAGGACACTCACCTTCACAGGTCTGGAAATCCCCCCCCCCCCATGGAGAGAGCCTGATGGTGCACAAACAGCATCCCTGCTCCACCCCCACCCAAGAAAGCCTTCCACTAACACCCCCCTCGACAGAAAAAAAGACACTTACCTTTACAGCTCTGGACATCCCCCCCATGGAGAGAGCCTGAAGGTGACCAACAACACCCCTGCTCCACCCACACCCACAAGAGCCTTCCGCTAACACCCCCGCCAATGGAAAAAAAGACACCTTCACAGCTCTGGACATCACCTCCATGGAGAGAGCCTGACAGTGACCAACACCCCTGCTCCACTCCCACCTGAGAGAGCCTTCCACTAACACCCCCCAACAGAAAAAAAAGACACCTTCACAGCTCTGGACATCCCCCCATGGAGAGAGCCTGACAGTGACCAACAACACCCCTGATCCACCCACACACCCGCCTTCCTTCCACTAACACACCCCCCACAGAAAAAAAAAGACACTTACCTTCACAGCTCTGGACATCCCCCCCATGGAGAAAGCCTGAAGGTGACCAACAACACCCCTGCTCCACCCCCACCTGAGACAGCCTGACAGTGACCAACAACACCCCCCCAGCTCCACCCCCACCTGAGAGAGCCTAAGGGTGACCAACAACACCCCTGATCCACCCCCACCTGAGAGAGCCTTCCCTACTAACACCCCCCAGAACAGAAAAAAAGACACCTTCACAGCTCTGGACAGCCCCCCCATGGAGAGAGCCTGATGGTGACCAACAACACCCCCCCCTGCTCCATCCCCACCTGAGAGAGCCTGACAGTGACCAACAACACCCCTGATCCACCCCCACCTGAGAGAGCCTGACGGTGACCAACAACACCCCTGATCCACCCCCACCTGAGAGCGCCTTCCACTAACACCCCCCCCCCTAACAGAAAAAAAACACCTTCACAGCTCTGGACAGCCCCCCCATGGAGAGAGCCTGACAGTGACCAACAACACCCCTGATCCACCCACACCCGAGAGAGCCTTCCACTAACACCCCCCCCCCCCCACAGAAAAAAAGACAATTACCTTCACAGCTCTGGACATCCCCCCCATGGAGAGAGCCTGATGGTGACCAACAACACCCCTGCTCCACCCCCACCTGAGAGAGTCTTTCACTAACACCCCCCCAACAGAAAAAAAGACACTCACATTCACAGCTCTGGACATCCCCCCCCAATGGAGAGAGCCTGACGGTGACCAACAACACCCCTGCTCCACCCCCACCCGAAAGAGCCTTCTACTAGCATCCCCCCAACAGAAAAAAAAGACACTCACCTTCACAGGTCTGGCTATCCCCAGGAATGACAGTGGGACTCTGCATACACCATCAAGCAGCCCACAGCCTCTCTCAGATCCCACCTGGTCCCCATGTCCCTCCTGCAGGGGCCAGTGCTGCCCCCCCTAAAAAAATGCCGCCCTAGGCAAATGCCTTGTTTACTTGTGGTAAATACGCCCCCGAGTAACATAAGCACTTATTATCCAACTCACTCTGTGCTGGAATCCAGTTTGTTCAGATTGTATTTTCTTGGTGTACATTCCGTGTAGAGCGTGGGGCCAGAACATACACAGCCCTGTATGCATAGGAAGGTATAGATGTATAATTTAAAAAATACTTCAGAAATATCAATTACATCTGTACAAGGTCTGAGAGAGAGCGAGAATATAAATGAAAAAGTTTATTTTTGTGCGGATTTGGGGAACGGCACAGAAGCAAAGAAATCCAAATATCTTCCAGTATTGGGTCAGTTAAGCAGCTGGAGAAGTTGACACCAACACCACGATGATTGAAGTTCACGCTTTTCATTTGTGGCCACTGAAATATGAAGGTGCAGTTGATTGGTTTAAAATTAGTATAGAAGGTATCTAAGACTTTACTCCACGACGGCGGGAAAATAAATGTGATCTTTTCTATAGCAGAGGGTATAATAGCAGCAACAAAATAAGAAAAGTACATTGTGGAAAGTTCCACAAACTACCACGACTTTAGCTGTTGATTCATTATATCCTTTAATTGCCGATAATTTTTCAAATGTGAAGTGATTTTAAGGATATAATGTGTGCAGATCCCGTGTTGGCTCATCATCCTGCTCAGTTCTTGGGCCTCATCGACACCGCTGCCATCCAT